CAATTCATATACTTCATCTTCCTGGAGCAGGGTAGTGTGCTATGTGTAAAACTTCTCTAACCCCTTAGCCCTCTCTGTACCACCTCAGCCATAATTGCTGGCCCATTGTCTGGTCCTTTGGTGATAAGAATTCCTAATTGAGAGAAGAACTCTTTTAAGAAAAGTTGGCCGTTTTCTTGTGGTGTCCTTGACCCCTGTGGTTCTTAAAATCCTTCCTCGACCTTTTGCACAGGATTCCCCTAGTTCCTCTCAATGTTGGCTGTGGGTCTCTGTATCTGTTTCCATCAGTTGCTGTTTGGAGCCTCTCTGATGACGATTATCCTAGGCTCTTGTCTATAAATATAGCACAGCATCGTTAGGAATCATTTCATTGACATTTTTTTTGCTGGACTTGTTTGGCTCTATCCTAGGTCTCTGAGTTATCTAGCCTCTGGTTCCTGGACCTTAAAGCAGTGTCAGGAGTGGGCTCCCTCACATGGCATGGATCTTAAGATGGACCAGTCATTGGATGGCCATTCCTGCAATTTCTGTGCCACCTTTGCCCCAGCACACCTTTTTCCCATCTTTGAATTTATTCTTTGTGTCTGCCACATCATGCATCTCCATTCCATTCATTTCCTTGTCCCTTCGTATTCACCCTGTGCCTTTGCAGCCTTTCCCCCAACAGTAAAATTGAAAAAATTTAAGAGAAAACAAAGAAAAAAGAGGATGAAAAATCAATCTTTTTATGGAAGCTGTACTGTCACATGGTGAGTCACACAGTAATCCCCCTTTTGCCCATTATTTGCAAGTGTTCATTACAAAGAGTCATTGGTCTGGTCCGAGGCCTCTGGTTTCTGCTACACCACTGATGCTGAGCCCTCACTGGGCCTCCTTTTGGATATCCCGTTCTTTGCTCTGTGTCGTGGAGATTCTACAGCTTTGCGTTTGCAGGACAGGTCCCTTCACATGCTCCAGCAGATCACAGATGGGGTGGAAGTTGGCCGTCATAGCGCTGGCCCTGGGCCTGGGTGGTTGCAGGGTTGGTCAGCACACCAGCTCTCCCTTGTCCTCACCACCAGGGTGAGCTCTCCAGCATTGCTCTGTGGCTAGTTCACCCCTTGCACTATGAGCAAGGGACGGGGCCAGTTCTCCTGCTTTCATGTCCTCAGGGTCGGGTCTCCCAGTCCTACATCTTCAGGGCCAGCTCTACTGTGTTGCCCAGGCATGGCATAGGGACCACTCTCTCTAGTGCTGCAGCTGATGAGGTCAGGGCCAGCTTTCCCACTCTTATGACTTCAGAGCCAGAATTTCTGCCTGCCTCAGGTGAGGGGGGCATCTCTCCCCGACCCATTCACATGACAGATGAATAATAGGGACAGCTCCCCCATGTTCACAACGTTGTGGCTGTCTCATCTACACCTCTGCCCGCAGGGTTGGCTCTATTGTGCTGCCCAGGTGAGGTACAGGGCCTGCACCCCCAAGTGTTGCAGCTGGTGGGGGGACAGGGACAGCTCACCCATCCTTATGACCTCAGGGCCATCTCTCTTCCACTCATGCCGCCACATGACAGATGAATAATGGGGACAGACTCTAGGACATCTTGAAGGCAGTTCAAACTGTAGGTCAAAATTTTGTGGCTGGGTTAGTGTCCAAATCCCTCTACTGAAAATATTGCCTGGTTACAGGAGATGACTGGTTCAGGGCTTGAATCCTCCATACTAGAAGTCTTAGCTAAGGTCACCCGAATCGATTCCTGGCAGTTCCCATTGCACTAGTTTTCTATCTCACCCTTGAAATGCCCCCTAATTCCAGTCATCTCTCCCAGTACTCTCTCCCCCACCCCCACCCCCACTAAGCATGGCTCATAGTGGCTCAAAGAGACTGAACTGACAATCCCGGAGCCTGTGTGTGTCTGAACTAGGTCCTCTGCATATATGTTATGGGTGTGTAGCTTGGTGTTTTTAGTTAATAGTGCCATTGGAGGCTGTCTCTGACTCTTCTGTCTGCTTCTGGGACCCTTTTCCTCCTACTGGCTTACGTCATCCAGCCTTAACATGAAGGGATATGCTTAGTCTTATTCTAACTTGATGTGCTGTGTTTAGTTGGAATCCCTGGGAGGAATGTCTTTTTCTGAAGGGAAAGGAAGGAGGGGTGGGTCTTGGGGAGAGGGCAGGTGGTGGGGAAGGACTGGGAGGAGAGGAGTGAGGGGAAATTGAGGTCAGGATGTAATATATGAGAGAAAAATAAATAAAAAGGAAAACAGGAGACATTGGGCCTCCAAATATCCTTTGTGTGTGTGTGTGTGTGTGTGTGTGCAGGTAAGGAAGGAAAGCCTCCACTCAACCTGGGAAAGATCACTCAAAGTCTCGCAGCCTTAGACCTGGGGCAGGTCAGTGAAGTCTACGATTATATTTCAAAAGAGATTTTTGTCAGGGCCAAGGGAAATTGCAGTTCCTCATACTTCAAAAGACATTCCAAATGTCCAGAAATGAGCTTGATCCGGGCTAAAGGAGGGTTTTTGGTAGTTAGATTAAAGCCCGAATTCCTTAGGAACTTATGAAAATGGTTCCCACCTGCCAAAAGGAACCTTTTCCCTTACCTCTGACAGAAGAGACCACAACACATATTGGGGTTTATCCATGCCTAACTCCATTTAATGTATGTGTTTGTATATAGTTCAAGAAGCTTCCACGTAATAGGTTTCCATATGACTTTTATAAATGTCTTTTGTGTTGGTTATCCCTCCCAATATTTCTTCCTTTACCCTGCACTCCCACCCACCTCATTTAACACTTTTCTTCCATTATTCCCCCATAACCATTTATTTTTATTTTTATTTTTTCACTTTTTATTTAAATTTAAACAATCTTATTTTATAAGCCAATCCCATTCCCCTCTCCCTCCTGTCTTCCCACACCTCCCACCCTTTCCCCATCCCACCTCCACATCCACTCCTCAGGGAGGGGGAGGCCTCCCATGGGCAAATCATCAAAGTCTGACACATCATTC